CCGTTCAACAGCAAGGTTATACTGGCGCCCTCAGTAGTTGCAAACTAACCTGAGGTCCAGGCCAGGCTGAGATTTATTTACTGGCTGTAAACTCCGACAAAACTTGAGTCTTGCATGCACATCTGTTTGACAGATCTGGCTGATCTGTGTGCAGAATGTTGGTTCCTTGCCTCTCTGGCAGAGGCACTCCAACTTCCAAGAAAACACCCTAATTAGTCGACTTCTACGACATACATGTTAGGAAGGCAGTGGATCTATGGTCTTTTCTCCCCCACTCGACCCCAGAACCCACAATGGAAAAACAAATTGTTGAATATAAACACTCACCAGTCTGATAACTTCATCACTAATGCTGCCTCCAACATTGTCAAAGTATATATCCACTCCTTCTGGGCAGATCTGTTGAAGTCTTGCAGTCACGGACTCAGTCTTGTAGTTGATGGCTGCATGGAACCCTAGTTCTTCAGTCAATATCTGGCATTTAGTGTCAGAGCCACAGATACCCACCACTTTATCACATCCTTCAGCTTTAGCAACCTGCCAAAATTGTGACAGGCAGAGCACACGTCATAGTGATATTTCATCATGGCTCATTTATGAAACAAAAGACAGTGAAGTTCCTACTAGGGATAATATTGCAGATATCATAATCATCATCAGGTGCCTTGCTGACTGGCGTGGGCGATCAAGCCTCTCCATAATCCCTGATCTCCTGCAGCATGTATCAGTTCGTGTGCTGACATACCTCCATGCCATGCAACAACACTGTCAAGAATCTTCTCTCATTGTCTTCCTCTATCCCTTATTCCACAGATCTTTCCAGTGGTCTCAACATGTTCTACTGCAGATATAGATAATCTATTTCAAGCAAATGAAAGAAGAAGATAAAGATTTGATCACTCATAAACTGTTTATAATTCATTTCTGTCTGCATCTATCTTGTTCTTCAAATGATAAAATTATACTGCGCTACAGGAAGGCATGAGAATCATAGAGCTTGACTTTGAAAAGCAAGACTTGCTTTTGTAAAACAATCTCTTCTCCAGATGGATCAAATGGATCCCTGTATCTGTCACATGTTGTATTTTTTCTCTGATGCTCTGCACAACCTGCTGGCAGTCATTTTCTCTGATGCTCTGCACAACCTGCTGGCAGTCATTTTCTCTGATGCTCTGCACAACCTGCTGGCAGTCATTTTCTCTGATGCTCTGCACAACCTGCTGGCAGTCATTTTCTCTGATGCTCTGCACAACCTGCTGGCAGTCATTTTCTCTGATGCTCTGCACAACCTGCTGGCAGTCATTTTCTCTGATGCTCTGCACAACAACCTGCTGGCAGTCATTTTCTCTGATGCTCTGCACAACCTGCTGGCAGTCATTTTCTCTGATGCTCTGCACAACCTGCTGGCAGTCATTTTCTCTGATGCTCTGCACAACCTGCTGGCAGTCATTTTCTCTGATGCTCTGCACAACCTGCTGGCAGTCATTTTCTCTGATGCTCTGCACAACCTGCTGGCAGTCATTTTCTCTGATGCTCTGCACAAACTGCTGGCAGTCATTTTCTCTGATGCTCTGCACAACCTGCTGGCAGTCATTTTCTCTGATGCTGCTCTGCACAACCTGCTGGCAGTCATTTTCTCTGATGCTCTGCACAACCTGCTGGCAGTCATTTTCTCTGATGCTCTGCACAACCTGCTGGCAGTCATTTTCTCTGATGCTCTGCACAAACTGCTGGCAGTCATTTTCTCTGATGCTCTGCACAACCTGCTGGCAGTCATTTTCTCTGATGCTCTGCACAACCTGCTGGCAGTCATTTTCTCTGATGCTCTGCACAAACTGCTGGCAGTCATTTTCTCTGATGCTCTGCACAACCTGCTGGCAGTCATTTTCTCTGATGCTCTGCACAACCTGCTGGCAGTCATTTTCTCTGATGCTCTGCACAACCTGCTGGCAGTCATTTTCTCTGATGCTCTGCACAAACTGCTGGCAGTCATTTTCTCTGATGCTCTGCACAACCTGCTGGCAGTCATTTTTCTCTGATGCTCTGCACAACCTGCTGGCAGTCATTTTCTCTGATGCTCTGCACAACCTGCTGGCAGTCATTTTCTCTGATGCTCTGCACAACCTGCTGGCAGTCATTTTCTCTGATGCTCTGCACAACCTGCTGGCAGTCATTTTCTCTGATGCTCTGCACAACCTGCTGGCAGTCATTTTCTCTGATGCTCTGCACAACCTGCTGGCAGTCATTTTCTCTGATGCTCTGCACAACCTGCTGGCAGTCATTTTCTCTGATGCTCTGCACAAACTGCTGGCAGTCATTTTCTCTGATGCTCTGCACAACCTGCTGGCAGTCATTTTCTCTGATGCTCTGCACAACCTGCTGGCAGTCATTTTCTCTGATGCTCTGCACAACCTGCTGGCAGTCATTTTCTCTGATGCTCTGCACAACCTGCTGGCAGTCATTTTCTCTGATGCTCTGCACAAACTGCTGGCAGTCATTTTCTCTCTGATGCTCTGCACAACCTGCTGGCAGTCATTTTCTCTGATGCTCTGCACAACCTGCTGGCAGTCATTTTCTCTGATGCTCTGCACAAACTGCTGGCAGTCATTTTTCTCTGATGCTCTGCACAACCTGCTGGCAGTCATTTTCTCTGATGCTCTGCACAACCTGCTGGCAGTCATTTTCTCTGATGCTCTGCACAACCTGCTGGCAGTCATTTTCTCTGATGCTCTGCACAAACTGCTGGCAGTCATTTTCTCTGATGCTCTGCACAACCTGCTGGCAGTCATTTTCTCTGATGCTCTGCACAACCTGCTGGCAGTCATTTTCTCTGATGCTCTGCACAACCTGCTGGCAGTCATTTTCTCTGATGCTCTGCACAACCTGCTGGCAGTCATTTTCTCTGATGCTCTGCACAACCTGCTGGCAGTCATTTTCTCTCTGATGCTCTGCACAACCTGCTGGCAGTCATTTTCTCTGATGCTCTGCACAACCTGCTGGCAGTCATTTTCTCTGATGCTCTGCACAACCTGCTGGCAGTCATTTTCTCTGATGCTCTTTTCTCTGCACAACCTGCTGGCAGTCATTTTCTCTGATGCTCTGCACAACCTGCTGGCAGTCATTTTCTCTGATGCTCTGCACAACCTGCTGGCAGTCATTTTCTCTCTGATGCTCTGCTCAACACAACCTGCTGGCAGTCATTTTCTCTGATGCTCTGCACAACCTGCTGGCAGTCATTTTCTCTGATGCTCTGCACAACCTGCTGGCAGTCATTTTCTCTGATGCTCTGCACAACCTGCTGGCAGTCATTTTCTCTGATGCTCTGCACAACCTGCTGGCAGTCATTTTCTCTGATGCTCTGCACAACCTGCTGGCAGTCATTTTCTCTGATGCTCTGCACAACCTGCTGGCAGTCATTTTCTCTGATGCTCTGCACAACCTGCTGGCAGTCATTTTCTCTGATGCTCTGCACAACCTGCTGGCAGTCATTTTCTCTGATGCTCTGCACAACCTGCTGGCAGTCATTTTCTCTGATGCTCTGCACAACCTGCTGGCAGTCATTTTCTCTGATGCTCTGCACAACCTGGCTCATTTTCACAACAACCTGCTGGCAGTCATTTTCTCTGATGCTCTGCACAAACTGCTGGCAGTCATTTTCTCTGATGCTCTGCACAACCTGCTGGCAGTCATTTTCTCTGATGCTCTGCACAAACTGCTGGCAGTCATTTTCTCTGATGCTCTGCACAACCTGCTGGCAGTCATTTTCTCTGATGCTCTGCACAACCTGCTGGCAGTCATTTTCTCTGATGCTCTGCACAACCTGCTGGCAGTCATTTTCTCTGATGCTCTGCACAACCTGCTGGCAGTCATTTTCTCTGATGCTCTGCACAACCTGCTGGCAGTCATTTTCTCTGATGCTCTGCACAACCTGCTGGCAGTCATTTTCTCTGATGCTCTGCACAACCTGCTGGCAGTCATTTTCTCTGATGCTCTGCACAACCTGCTGGCAGTCATTTTCTCTGATGCTCTGCACAACCTGCTGGCAGTCATTTTCTCTGATGCTCTGCACAACCTGCTGGCAGTCATTTTCTCTGATGCTCTGCACAACCTGCTGGCAGTCATTTTCTCTGATGCTCTGCACAACCTGCTGGCAGTCATTTTCTCTGATGCTCTGCACAACCTGCTGGCAGTCATTTTCTCTGATGCTCTGCACAACCTGCTGGCAGTCATTTTCTCTGATGCTCTGCACAACCTGCTGGCAGTCATTTTCTCCTTTGTTCTTGTTTCACCTTCTTGTTTCTAACCCGGTCAACAAATGCCAGCAGAAGTCGGATGTGTTGGCCGAAAGGTGCAAATATCGCAGCCTTGCTGTAAACGGACACAACGCAGTTACATCTTTGGATGAACGCAGAAGAAGAAGAAGAAGTTTCACCTTCCCATAATTCCCTTCCATGCAATTCACTCCACTGAACCATGCTTCCACCAATAAAAATAAAAAATAAAAAGTAAAGGACCCTTTTCCACGCCTTTAAGCGTATAGGGCATATAGGGCTAGACCTATATTCTATAGACCAACTGGCACAAGATGGGTGATGTGGTCAGCATCACACCGGCCACCTTTACTTCCCGGGACTGCACCTGGTAGCCACTCAAGCTGGGTCATCCTGGGAGCCAAGGTCAATTTTTTTTAAAGTACAGCTCCGCCAGTGAGCGAACCCACGACGCTCTGTCATGGCGACTCTTGCTTCCATGAATACAGTTGCTTAACAGAAGTCGAGAAAGACAGTTGTGGTATTAGGAGATGTAGTTTTAATGTCTTGTGAATGATTCGTGGATGTTTGAATAATTGTTGGAACATTGTGAAAGAATGTGACAGAATAAACTAACAGAAATGTATAAAGACCTAAGAGCCGTTTGTGTTATCAATCCTAGATGTTAGAGCATATAAGTAGCTATGTTGCAGTAATCATATAAAGCCGAATCGTGGCAGAAAGCAGGTTTGTTGCATCTCAATATCTGTATCATTTTGGCTTTTCTTGCAAACATCTTTATTTCACAGCAGATGTTGATCCCAAAGTTTTAGCTGAAATCTGCACAGAACAGATCCAGTCACCATAATTTGTATTGTCCTTTATTACTTCTACAATGAAATATATTTTTTATTCATTCATGATTCTGTTGTGCTATCATATGTCACATAGGGCTCCCAGTCTATTCCTCCATTCTGTTCCACCCTGTACAATCACTTCGATATCAAGGATGGAATACAGTCCAGCATCTTTGGCCTCTCTCATCCACTTTTACCTTAAGGTTTCTCTTGAAGGTCTCTGTTTCCTCAGTCCCTCTATTTCCCATTTCAGTGCCTGTCAGGTAATTCTCTGTGTCCAATATAGCACCATCTTCTCTGTCTTATAGCTGTTGATACAAGTAGCTGCCCAAACATTTCTCCTATTTCTTCACTCCTCTTGAATTCATCCCATATTTATACCTTGTATTTGCTATATTTTAAGTCTTTAAGTTGAGTATATACAAAGTGATACATCAACACACAACACTGGTTACCTGTCCTGCCACGGAACCGGTGGCTCCAGCAGCACCACTAACTACCATTGTTTGATTGGCTCCTTTAATCACATGGGCTTTTTCCCGTACACCAAGATATGCTGTCAACCCAGTGAGTCCAGTTAAATTCAAACATATAGTTGGGGAGATGGCAGAGATTTCCACTGGGATCTGGTAGAAAGAAGATTCAACAAGAACATTACCTGAACAAATTCTCAACTGGTGAAGTTGTAACAGGGGCACAGATTTCCACAGGGATCTGGTAGGAAGGAGATTAAACAAGAACATTACCTGAACAAATTCTCAACTGGTGAAGTTGTAACAGGCCTAGCAAGCTGAAAAATGATTTATTACTGCTGCAGAGAATACAATGAGATATAAATGGACTATAAATGGACTGTCTGCCCACACACAGAGAACTCCTTGTGACGCTATACCAAACAAAACATACATCAAAAAAGTAAAAGGATGTAGAACATAAAGTAGAATGAAAACAAGATGGAAAGATAACATCAGAGAAATTCTACAACAGCACAATGTACCAGTTGTGGGTTTGACATCCAGAGACAAAGATTTACACAAAACTACTTAGCAGTTTTTATGAGCTATCTAACACAGCAATATGACATACATAGCATATCTTTTGTGAATGAATTTTTATACTTTTTCTGGTTGCCATGTGACAAGAGTCAAGTAGATATAGTACTGACTTTACTGTTCTTTGTTTATCTTTAATTATTTCAGTCTTAAATATGGCACTGTTTGTGGTCTGCCACTGTCCATATTTACAAAGCAATGCTTGATGTGACTGCATACATACTTTAGAAATGCTGTCATTTATTTTGTCAAGTATGAGTATAGATATCACAGACATCAAGTAAAGTGGACAGGCTGTATAGATGTCATAGACACAAAGTAAAGTGAACAGGCTGTATCAATGTCACAGAAACAAAGTATAGTGGACAGGCTGTATAGATGTCATAGACACAAAGTATAGTGGACAGGCTGTATAGATGTCATAGACACAAAGTATAGTGGACAGGCTGTATAGATGTCATAGACACAAAGTAAAGTAGACAGATTGTATAGATGTCACAGACACAAAGTAACACAGAAAAACTAAAGATGCTAGTATGTCACTGTCATAATGTAATGTACAGTAAATGGAAAGATCTCCACAAAAACCAAGTGAAGTGGCTTCAAATGACTTGATACAGTAACAGAAATTACATAATTCAACAGAACACAACAGGACAAAGATCAGTATATAAGTGATATCTACTACAGACCTTTCTCACAGAGGACGACGAAATAATGAAGTAGACTTTCCAAGGCCAATGATAGAAGGCTGTGACCAAGTCCCCAGGAATATAATTGGGGTCGCCGCTGGAAACAATGGTACCAACACCTCCAAATCCACTGAGAGTTTCACCGATTTCCCAGGCTTTTAAATAACTGACTCCGGTGTCCCTGTTCATGGCACATCGCTGCCAAAGAAAAATCATAGCAGCTACTTGAGAAAACATTTTATTCAAACCTAATTCTGTGACCAATATTCACTCTTATTTTCTATGTCTGCCTTTTATCTACCAATGGAGCTTAGGCCCTCAACAAACTCCCTTCTACTCATTTGTAGACTTGATCATAAGTGACTGTGTTTTGTAACTAACGTTTCTTAATGGATGAGATCTTTTCCATCAACCCTCCAATGAAGCATAGGTCCTTAAGTGGCCCAGGCTGAGTCTATTGTAGACTTCCCTATGATTGGTAGGGTTTTGTAATTACAGTTTTCTATGAAAATAAGTAGCTAGTTTTATATCAACCTTCCTGAGTCCCTACTTGTGACAATCGTGGCACTTTAGAGTATTACTATTGTTTGGTTCTCTGCATTCAGTAAGAGCCCTGGTAACATACAGGGAGGGCCCTGGTAACATACAGGGAGGGCCCTGGTAACATACAGGGAGGGCCCTGGTAACATACAGTGAGGGCCCTGGTAACATACAGTGAGGGCCCTGGTAACATACAGGGAGGGCCCTGGTAACATACAGTGAGGGCCCTGGTAACATACAGGGAGGGCCCTGGTAACATACAGGGAGGGCCCTGGTAACATACAGGGAGGGCCCTGGTAACATACAGTGAGGGCCCTGGTAACATACAGGGAGGGTCCTGGTAACATACAGGGAGGGTCCTGGTAACATACAGGGAGGGCCCTGGTAACATACAGTGAGGGCCCTGGTAACATACAGGGAGGGTCCTGGTAACATACAGGGAGGGTCCTGGTAACATACAGGGAGGGCCCTGGTAACATACAGGGAGGGCCCTGGTAACATACAGGGAGGGCCCTGGTAACATACAGGGAGGGCCCTGGTAACGTACAGGGAGGGCCCTGGTAACATACAGGGAACTGTACCCAATATCTAAAAATTAATTAGCAGTCTTAGAGAGAACATGTTTACTTACAACGAGAAAGTATGTCAAGGCAGCTTTATGGTAAGGTATATGTCTCTAACTAAACAAGTTACTGGTAGAAGGAAGTTCCTATAGAACTAAGTTCCTATAGAATATTTTCAAAACATATTTGTTTTTTCGGTGGTGGATAATTATTCATGGATGCTTTTCCCGCCACTGGCACACCAAGCTTATGATGTCTGACTCGTCTGTTTATAGACCAACTGACACTCGATGGCTGATGTGGCAGCAACATGCTGGCTGTCTATTCTTCCCAGCACTTTACCTGGTATCCAATTTAGGCTGGTTTGAGCTGGGAAGCAAGGTCATCTGACTCTACCTGGGTTTAAACCCAAAACTTTTCGGGCAGTAGGCACTTGTTTAGCCACTATACCACTGCAGCTCAAAGATGGTGGGTAGTAAATCAGAAAACAAACCTTCTTAAATAATAGATTAAAAAAAAAATTTTTGAATAACATTCTGGGAATTGTGGAATTCAAATCTGAAAATGTAACCAACTCACCAGCGCAGGATCCAGTGACAGATACTCGTTTCTGATCAAAACCTCACCATCTTTAGGAGGTTCTGGTGGGAAAGGGACCTCTTCAAAGCTAAAGTTGCTTTCAGATGGTTCGTTGTCTTCTCCTACAATAAGAAAAAGCAAATATTAGTTATCTACATCAGACAGTATATGCAGATCATCTTGATGTCTGACAGCTGGGGCTAGTGTCCTCAGTTTGAAGCTTGTTGTAATGTGGCAAAAAGACAGGGGCCCTCAATTTCCCTTTTCCTAATTAAGAACATAAGAAAATAATACTGTGATTAATGGTAAATAAATATAATATTTGAAATAATATGACTTGTATAAACAAATGATTAACAGGAGAACAGCATAACTAGAATGTCTTTGTATTGGAACCCACAGGGGCATAGGAATAAAGGAAGACCAAAAAACACATGGAGAAGAGAGCTGGAGAATGAGGTTAGAAAGATTGGGAGGACATGGGGAGAGCTCTATGTAATGGCGAAGGATAGAACGACTTGGCGTGAGTTGGTTGAGGGCCTATGCTCCATTGGGGGATAGAAAGGCAGAAGAAGAAGAAGAAACAAATGATTTCTATATGTAATTAAACGGAGCCGCTTGATTTCTCGATAAAATTACTGGTGGGATGGGAGGGGGCAACACCCCCTCTAAAATGTGGGATTGGAGATAAAGTGGTCTGATTGCCCGCCTTTTTTCCCAGGCCCTGACACCCCTGACGTCAGGGAGGCCAGAAGAGGAAGAAGCAGAAACTTATAACTTATATCATCTTCGACATGGTTCTTCTTCTTCTTCTTTTTCTCAAAGTCTATGCCGTTTAACATTGGTAGTCATGTTTATCCACAACCTTCTGTCTCGTGTACTTTCAGTCAACTCTGACACAGATGATTTGGCTATCTTCCGAATAATGGTCCCAAATTATCGCGGCGTGGATTGGGGCTAAACTAGATGGCTGGGACTCACGAGCAGCAGCTACCGCATTTCCTGCAGCTGCCTTGATTTTATTTGCTCGTGTGTCCCAACCATCAGCGGTGGCGGTATAGTCCCAGGAAGTGTGCAATTGACACGTGACTGAAGCCCTGTTAGGGTATATTTTCTACCTCAATAATTTGGGACCGTTATTCGGAAGATAGCCGATGATTTTCCATGCCATGATGTCAAACTGTCCAGCATCTGTTCTCTCGGTCTCCCTCCTCTTCTCCTCCCTTCCACCTTTCCTACTGTCACGATGTACTCCAGTTTTCTCCTTCTCATCACATGACCAAAGAATGTAGATTGTCTTTTTCTGATGTGGGCAATCAGTTCTCTTTGTGAGTCAGTTTCTTTCAAGACATCTTCATTGCTCTTTTTATCTGTCCATGGCATTCTCATCATAACACCCCATTTCCGCAGCTTCCACATAATGTTTCACAAATTTTCCATGATTCACTTCCGTATATCAAGATATGATTTATATAGCTTTAAAGAATTATCTTCCTCGTCTCAACTGACAAAGAAAGATTGCTGCAATTGCACAAAATTATTATTTTGAAAATATTCTTCATTTTGTACAATGCTGCCTTTGCTTGAGCTTTCTATCTGATGTTGCTAGAAGTAAAAGACGAACTGAAGAAGAGGAGAAGACAGTTGTCGCCACTACATATCGAAGGAATACAATAACAGTTGTGATAAGTGGTGTGGTGTTTTGGGAAAAGTTATGTCCACGACAGATATCGGACAAACTTGCCTGGCCTGGACTTCAGGACGACGTGAAAGTTTTTCTTCTCCATTGTTTCTCTCCAGCAGACGTCAGCCCGAGTTCAAAGTTCATCACGGGTAGATGACTGATGACCCGGTGAATCCGGGTAAATGTCTCTGCTCGTTTGATTTTACCCGTATCATGTTATCATCATCATCATCATCATCCTCATCATCAGGTGCTTTCCCGACTGGCGTGGGCGATCACGCCTCTCCATATTCTGCGATCTCCTGCAGCATGTATCAGTTCCTGTGCCGACATACCTCCATGCCATGCAACAAGACTGTCAAGCATCTTTTCTCGTTGTCTTCCTCTGTCCCTTCTTCCACAGATTTTTCCAGTGGTCACAACATGTTGTATTTTCCCTCTTCTCATAACATGACCGAAAAATGATGACCGTGTCCTTCTGATGTCTGTGATAAGTTGTCTTCGGGCTCCCTCCTCTTTCAAAACCTCCTGGTTGCTCTTTTTGGCTGCCCAGGGCCTTTAGAAATTGTTTGGCCTGCCTACCGATTGTCAAAGATTCACAGCCATATGTTTAAACTGTATGTATGTAGCAAGCAAGAATTCTTTTTCTAACTCTCAATGACAAGGATATATTGCACAAGATGTTTTTCCTTTTATAAAATGCATTCTTTGCCTGTCCTATTCTGTTTCTTATCTCAGTTATGCATCTTCCATCAGATGTTATCCATGTGCCCAGATACTTAAATTTTTGTACTTGTCCTAAAATAACACCATCGACTTTTATTACACATTTAGGAATAATTCGTTTCTTTGATACCACCATTACTTCTGTCTTCCCATTATTCAAACTGAGGCCCATTCTTCCACTTTCTTACACCACAATGTCTATCATTTCCTGTAGTTCTTTCTGACTTGTTGCTATCAAGACTGTGTCATCAGCATAACGTAAATTGTTTATATTGTGCCCACCAACCACAATTCCGGGCATATCAATTAAAGATCTCATTATATATTCACTGTATATTGAAAACAAATCAGGTGACAGTACACATCCTTGTCGTACGCCCCTCTTTAAGCTTTGAAATGTACCTAAACAGTTGTTAATTCTTATAGCTGCTGTTGGCTGCCAATACATATTTTTTATTATTCGTAGATCTTTCCCATCAATGTTTAATTTTTCTAACAGTTTGATTACTCCTTCATGCTTCACACAGTCAAATGCTTTTGTATAGTCTATGAAGCATAAGTACAAATCAGTCTTTACTTCTATAGCTCTTTCTGACAATGTCCTTAGGATGTATGTGGCATTGTTTGTACCTTTTCCTTCTACAAATCCACATTGTTCATTGCTGATTTCTGGTTTAATCTTATTTCTTATTCTTCTCCTAATTATTCTCAGTAAAATCTTAGTCATGTGACTTATAAGACTTATTGTGCGATGGTCTTCACATTTTAAAGTGCCTGGTTTCTTTGGCAGAGCTATACATATGGATTTTAAAAGGTCATTTGGAATATACCCACTATTATAAATATCATTTAAAAGTTTAGTTATTATTTTAATTCCGAAATCTCCCACTGCTGTATCATGTACCAAAATCAATTAACTTCTGGATTGTGAGAACCATGTTTGAAACGGCCAAAACCAACCAAGTAATTGAAGAAATGCAGAGCTATAAACTGCATTTTCTTGAAATCAGTGAAAGCAGATGAAAGAGAAAAAAGGGGCGCCCAATAACAACATGGAGACGAACGATGGAAAGTAACCTGAGTGCGGCATCTTTGACATGGAAAACTGCACTGAAGATTGCACAGGACAGGAAAGCATGGAAAGTCCTCTCTGAAGCCTTATGTGCCACTAGGCATAACGAGAACTGATGAAATATCTGGCATCAGTGACGCTGCCACGCGTGCTGATTGTCAAAGTACACATTTATGATAAGACAGTAACTATTCGTTGACGCAAGCCGTTGTAAGCATGGAAGTGGACTAAAGTCTTGAGAACAAAACTCATTTTAGTTAACTCTTTTTCGCATACCGCGACTTGTCTACGTAAATAACTATGTTATTGATGAGTGATTAGAAAGGATTATCATCACAGCGCTTCGGACAGATCCATAGGTGCTCCGATCTCCTCCTCAAAAGCTCCACAAGTTTAAAACGACTAAAGACGCCTGTTCTGTGTTGGTGAAAGAAACGTCTTGTCCCCTTAGTGAAATGTTCATTTCTTGCAGCTCCAGGCTGCACCCCCATGTCCATCAGTCTAGACAGGGATAGGGAGTCATGTCCTTTGTCGTGCTGCTCGGTACGGTAAGTGCAGCGCATGACATTGATAACACCAATTCTGTCCAGTACTGGGCCAGCCATAGCAACTGCAGTGTCAGCAAGATAGTCTGCACGCTCGTTCTCTTGAACACCCACATAACCTGGCACAAAGATGAAGGAAGGGCAGATATTCGTAAAGTGCTCAGTGTTTCAATCCATTCTTGCCTGATAAATCCAGCTTGGATTGTTTAAAGCATATTCATCGAGTAATTGATGAGGATTTAAGGCTATGACCACCTGAAACAGAAAAAGTTGATGAAATAATGACTAAGGGGGGGGGGGCGGACGATTGTAATCACTCTCCGATGACCTGCCATTGACCAGAAGGTAAACTAATAATCGGGACAGCAGATTACATCATGGCAACGACGTGCTGGTATCATCGGGGTTTGACTTACACTTGGAGGAGAGTGAGTTAATTTCAGAATTTTCTCCCGTGTGGGTTCCGGGGCTCAATTGTGGGGAAAACAAGAATAGACCCACTGCCTCCCCAAAAGCATGTCGTAAGAGTCGACTAATTGGGGAGCTTCCTTTGCAGTCGGAGTGCATCTGCCGGAGAGGCAAGGAACCAACAGTCTGTATTCAAGAGAATGCGATCTGTAAAACTGATGCACACGCAACACTCAGGTTCTGGAGCAGGACTGCAGTTCAGTAGTGGACGAGCAACCAGAACTTTCCGCCTAAATGTACAGCTGGTGAACGCGAAGAAGATGAAGAAGATTTCAGAATTTGCAAGATCTGCCACAAGAAAGTTGTAGCTATAGCAGCATATAACTAAGCACAAGTGAGAAACTCGGTAGTGTGTAGTTGTTATGCAGGACACATGAACTGACAACATAAAGCAGGTCATTTGAATGAATGACTTTCTACCCCACCAGGACATCACACAAGCGATAAACACCCGATGACACAAAGTGCCACCACGTGGATGAGGATCACTGTGGAGAGGTCCCAGAAACCGCGTTCAGACAATTGGCCATATTGATGGCCTGCCTATATTGCGACCCCTGGCAAAAGCCAGAGTGGGGCTTCAAATAACAAAAAATTACGTCCTGAAAAGGACGTATAGAATAGAAAGGTAAGTAGCAGGTCATTTTATAACTGAAATAACTCTCTGGTACATCATATGTTTAAAAAAATAGGTAACAGAGTTTAAATTAATAACTAGAATATTCATTTCATTCAGTAGCATGTCCCTCGCGGAACCTCGCAGCCATAACAACCCTCCGGAAAACCTTCCTATCCTGAGCAAGATGTCCTGCGTCTGATACACCCATCTGGAGATCATCTGCCACATCCTGCACCCATCTTCTCCTTGGCCTTCCTCTTCCTCTCTTCCCAGGCATATACCCCTCCATTATTGTTCTCTCTAGACTTCCATGACGTTTCAAGTGACCAAAATATTTCAATTTTCTTTGTTTTATTGTCTTTACTAGCCAACCCTCTTCAATATTCAGCTCTTGAAGTATGGATGCATTTGTTCTTTTCTTTACCCAAGATATTCTTAACTAGAATATAGTTTGTGGTTACTTGTTCAGAAGCTTTTAGAGGGCGACATAACGAAACAAGATAAGTAAAAATGTGATTTTTTTTAAAAGCCAAGGAGTAATAAAATTAATAAATTTAAAAAAAAAAAAAACTGTTACATAATATAATCCATCATTTCGAAATTATTTCCCTATTATGAAATTTTCGTTTTCATATTGAGGTTTGTTGTTTACATGCACTTATGCTTTGTCCTTTTAGTTTTGCCAACCATTGTTTGTGTTCTATTTATAAATCCACTGATAAAGACTTTTGTCGAAACGTTTGGCTGTATTTGTGTGCGTCTATTTTTTCAACCCTTTTGTTTTTCGTCCCTCACGAGTGATGTAGACCACTTTCATCCAAAGTAGCAATGATCAATGATTATGAGTACGAAGGTGGCTGATTAGTCCAATATGAGCCAGGACAGTTCTTGAGCAGTGCGGACAACAGATAGAAGCTGCAGTAAGTGTGGGATTAGCATTACGATTATTTCTAGTCTGCCTCCGTTTCTCTGCCTGTGCAACCTCTGCTGCCTGGCAGGCTGATGCACCATGCATGAGGGACGTAAGCCATCCAGAACGGTCTTGTGCAGCAGCCTCCCGCGTCGCTGTGCTGATTCCAAAATAATTGAGGCAGTCTTCAGTGTCCTTATAGCGCTTTTTCTGTCCTGACTAAGACCTCTTCCCTTACTGGGGCTCGCTTGGAGGCGATAGTCTGGCATTCGGGATAGGTGACCAGCCCAACGCAGCTGACAGTTCTTCAGTATCGTGTGGATGCTGGGAAGGTTTGCTCTCTCAAGAACCACAGCATTTAGGATCTGATCTTGTCATTTGATTTCCCACCCCTACCCCTCCCCCATTGAGCTGTCTGGTCACAATGTATGTTATATTGACTTATTTTTTTAAATCACGTTTTCTCAGTGTGTTTATGTTCTTTTACTGATGAACTTTTCAGGATTCTAGCAGACTTCTTTCTTTGTAACCACCAACTATATAGACGCCCGTGTGTCACCGGGGCCCTCACGGGAAGCAAAGAATAGTAACACTGCACCCTACCAGGCATGTCGTAAGAGGCGACTAAGGGTGGGGTTGGGCTTGAGGTTGGCTACCTCATCCTGTAAAAACCATAGCCACAAAAACCAACCAACCATGGATAAGTCAAAAAGAAAAGCAAGTAAAATCCAGCCAGCCAAGATGAGGGGAGGCTCTGCAAATAGAAGTATGACCAGTGAGAAAACAGGAGAACAGCATAACGAGAATGTGTTTGCATTGAAAACCCAAAGGGGAATGGGAATAATGGAAGGCTAAAAAATACATGGAGAAGAGAGCTGGAGAATGAAGTTAGAAAGATGGGGAGGACATGCGGAGAGCTCCATGCAATGGCGAAGGATAGAACGACTTGGCGTGAGTTGGTTGAGGGCCTATGCTCCATTGGGGGATAAATAGGCAGAAGAAGAAGAAGAATTATAAAGACATTATGTAACATAGTCTTCAATTCATCAACAGCAGTTGTCCTATTCTGTGCTTTATCTAGTATTACAACTTCCATGTGATGTTATCCTTGAGTCTAAGTACGTGTATATAGTGTTCCCGTACTTGCCCTAAATGATTATCCTTGACTTTCACTGCAGAACGATCGGTCGCTTTTAAATTACCATTACCTATGTCTCCCCAATACCCAAACTTGGGCCCATTTTTCCGATATCTGCAACCACCGTCACTACCATTGTGTGTAGCTCCTTCTTGCATGTTGCTATCCAGATTGGTAAACGTAGGTTACAATAAATTATCACCTTGTGCAATATGGTCTGTGTGTCGTTTATGGCAGTAATGTGCGGTTTAAGTCTTCATAATTATAATGGAGATATACAGTGTCTGTTGTTATTTCAGATAATTGATGTTTATTTAATTGAATGTATGACTTATTTGATTTGATTTGATTCAAGAACTGACATCACAGCACTCGGGGCATTCCCATAAGCGCTCCGTCCCCATCTTCAGCAGCCAGCGAACAGTTCCGATAATAATGGTGCCAGTAGCATTCTGATTAAACGTCCGTCTTGCCTTTCCTCTGAGCCTCGAGCATCTGCCAGAACCTCTCGTCACTCCCCCCTGCATCAATCTCACCAGACTGTGTTGATCCATCTGCTTCTCCGAACTGTACACGCTCTCCCACAAGGCAATAACCACGTCTGCCTTATCATGTATCAGTTTTCCACCAAGTTGTTCATAGCCAGCCAGTCTGTCCGCCTATTCATTCCCCAAAAACAGGCGTGCCCCGGTGAAAAAAATCCAGACAATACTCCTCACCCCTGTTTTCCGCAGGGAAGCATGCCACTCTGAATGTAAACAATTTCATAATTGAATGTAATAAACAAACAAACGCTGTATCGATGGGCACACATAGAAAGAAGTATAAAGATATAAGAACACACTAGACAACATAAAAATCGAGCTATAGTTACCGTGCCGGGATCCAGCCTGTCACCTCTAAATGGCGTATGCGCCTCGCTATGGAAACAAGTAAACTTATAATTTCCCAAAAAGCGGCCGGTGTGATGTTGACCGTACCACCCCCGGGTGCCGATTGGGCTGTACAATGTAGTCCAGTACCCATGAGGGCTTGGAAAAGGGTCCTTCACTTTACTTACAATATTTCATATTTCACAATGCAAGCTTCCACGGTTACCAGGGCTCCATTCCTGTGGTGGGCGGTGTAGAAATAGACTCCTCTCGTGGCTTTAGGATAGTGGAACGAGAGTTTCACCGGGGAGGCGACAGGGACACCACCCCGTAATACTGACATAGTTGACAGTGGATGCATAGCAGATCACCTTCATTAATGGAGACGGAATAACTGTTTCTTAAATTGTCTAAATGGTTTAATTATTCTATAGAAATCGTGTCCCTCCCCCCTCTGTCTACACACACACACATACACACACACAAACACACAACCAAACATACACACACACAAACACACACACACAAAAACAGACACACAAACACACAAACAAACATAAATATAATAGTTAAAATGTACATTCAAAACACAACTAACACCATCACTACTGCTACTGCTGCTACTACTACTTACTACAACTACTTTGAATACTACTATTACCACTACTACTTATAATAAATAACGAGAAAGTATATATTCTTGCATGCCAGTTTTGTTTGCAAATCGAAAAGTTACTGAAGGGTTGTTGATTCTTGAAGCTGCTGTTTGCCATATATTATTTGTGTTGTTCTCATATCTTTGTCATCAATTGTTCTAAAGCTTCGATCCTATCTTTCTGTTACCCGCTGGCAAATACTTTTGTGTAATCTACGAGGTAATGCGAATCCCTAAGTGACAATCACAGCCTAAAGTAAATATAAGGACATACCGCGGGAAGATAAGGCGGACAGCATGGTGCTGACCATCAAGTCGTTGATTGTTCTGTCTAAATATCAGGCTGGTGTCACATGTGACAAGTGGTCCTCATTTTATTTTTACTTCGACACTGAACGCAGAAAGCCTCCTGGGAAGGAAAGGCAGCCCGCATATGTTTTTGACCACACGACTCGTCGAATGACGAGGGGTTAAAAGAAAGTAATTAATCTTGGCCTATGTGTATAAAACGCCAGTGTCATGAAAAGAGTGTTTTAAATATATATGTATAAATATATATACACTAAACTTAATTGCCCGGGATAGTGAAAGAAAGTCTTATTCTGCCGTCCTATACTTTTTCTTAGTCTCCATCGGTGCCCCATTGGTAGGCCTATTGGAAATAAAGGTCTAACTAAAACCTTAAATTTTAAAAACCTGTCTTCTTCATCTTTCTCTCCACCGCTGCCGTATGTTTAGTCATCGTCCCTAAGAGCACCTATAACACCATTATTTAACAATATGGGAGATAGACAAATGAACTAGCTAAGACACACATAAATATGGGGTTTCAATGAACATAACCACGAAGTATGATTTTTTTTTTAAAATTACCTCTTCAAGGAATGTTGAATTAAAAATCGACATCACAAAGTTCGGAACACCCCTATAGGTGCGCCGTCCTCATCTTCAGCAGCAAGCGAAGAGTATCAATTCTGATGACACTAATAACTGTCTGATTGTGTATCCGTCTCGCCTTTCCCCTGAATGTTGAGCGCCGGTCAGATACAGACTCTTCAAGGAAAGTAATAGGGAAAAAAAATCAGAGATTTAACTCCAGTGAAAGTTTACTTTTGCTGATTGTCGCAGTAAATAAAGAAATGCATAATAACATGGGCTGTCAATATGACCGTTAAATTAAACACTATATTCATAACAGCAAATAAAAATGTAACCAGTGTATTGGTGACGGTTTTTGAGGAGTTAACGCTTCGTTTAGAATACACACATAAAATACTAAAAGTGTGTGTGTGTGTGGGGGGGGGGAGGGGGGGGAGGAGTGTTTAGTACACCTCTGTTAGTAAAAATCCTCTTGTCATCTCTTAGTGGCATGCAAGGTTTGGTTATTTTGAAGCCCCAGCCTGGCTTTTGCCGGGGGCCCTAAATATAGCCGGGCCTGAAATAGGGCCTATCGACTGAACGGGGTTTTTGCGACCTCTCCACGGGTGATCCTTGTCCGCATGGTGGCACTTTGTGTCACCGAGTGTTTATCGCTTGTGTGATGTGCTGGTGGGAGGCAACTTACATACATACATACATAGTAAGTGAAAAATCATCATTTTCATTCACCTCACTTGTCAAAGTAACAATCATATAATCCTAAAAGTTGGCATGTTCTTACCCAGTTTTACACATATGTAACGAATTAATTGTATTTATCATCTGTGTATATACACAGATCGATCAGGGCTCACGAAGCCAGGGGAAGCAACAATCGCTAGAGAATGGCCAACACCCTCGAGGAACTGAACGGACGTCGCCACTTTGACTACATTGTGATTGGCTGTGGTGGTATTGGCAGTGGCGCCGTCTACTGGCTATCCAAAAGAGCGGGACCTAGTAGGTGTTTCTTGAATCATTCACTTCTTCATCTTTTTTTGAAGTCTTACTGACACCATGTTGTAGCCCAGTGTCGTCGCTTTCTGTATTTGTCTTGCTCTTCTCAGGTGGCTTGAGTGATGGATTTATTCATCTTTTTGCAGGCTTCAGCTTGATAACTCTAGCCATCCCTTTATGGGATGCAATTTTTCGCTATTTTGAAGCCCCACCCTGGTTAGCCAGGGGTCGCAATATAGCCCGACCATTAACATTGCCTAAAAGCTGAACGCGGTTTCCGGGACCTCTCCGCGGTTAATCCTCATCTAAATTATGGCACTTTGTGTCATCGGGTGTTTATCGCTTGTGTGATGGTCTGGTGGAGTTAAAGTACTACTACTATTGTTTCAGCTATAACATTTATCCATATCTTTCTTGGTCTTCTTCTCGCCTTCCTCCCAAATGTTCTGCTGTAAAAAAAAATAGTCTCATATGCAGTGTGGCTGCATTTTCACTAGATGGCCGAACCATTCAGTTCTTTGTCTGTCAATATGATCCAGACATGGTCTTATCCCAACTTGATCTCTAATGCTGGTATTCTTAACCCTGTCTCGTCTTGTGTTGTTAGTGACTTTGAAGAGACAGGGATTTCACGAGTATTTATTTTCTGTTGGAGTGTTCAATATTATAAACACATGTTTAGTTGTTTTGTTCAAGGTTATGTGAAGGACTTTCACGATTGATAGACTTATGCAGTGTGCAGCGAATGCAGGATTACCTTTTATTATGACAGCAAACGCTAGAATTTAGACATATCTGGAATGACTGAAAGGTTACTTACAAACTGTTGATTGTTGCAAATGTATGACGTTGTGAACATCACCCTGTATAAGTCACAACCAATGCTTGCTTCAAAACATTTTCTTAATCCGGAGGAGGACGACAAAATAAGACTAAGCCGCAGCAGCAACAGCAGCATTAGTATAAGCTACAGCAGTACAGTAGTAGTGGTGGTGCTGGTGGTGGTGGTTGTAGTGGTGGTAGTAGTAGTGGTAGTAGTAGTAGTAGTAGTTGTTGTTGTTGTTGTAGTAGTTGTAGTAGTAGTAGTAGTAGTAGTAGTAGTTGTTGTAGTAGTAGTAGTAGTAGTAGTACTAGTAGTAGTAATAGTAGCTGTAGTAGTAGTAGTTGTGGTAGTAGTAGTAGTAGTAGTAGTAGCAGTAGTAGTAGTAGTAGTAGTAGTAGTAGTAGTAGTAGTAGTAGTAGTAGTAGTAGTAGTAGTAGTAAAAGTAGTAGTAGTAGTAGTAGAAGTAGTAGTAGTAGTAGTAGTAGTAGTAGTAATAGCAGTAGTAGTAGTAGTAGTAGTAGTAGTAGTAGTAGTAGTAGTAGTAGTAGTAGTAGTAGTAGTAGTAGTAGTAGTAGTAGTAGTAGTAGAAGTAGTAGTAGTAGTAGTTGTAGTAGTAGTAGTAGTAGTAGTAGTAGTAGTAGTAGTAGTAGTAGTAGTAGTAGTAGTAGTAGTAGTAGTAGTAGTAGTAGTAGTAGTAGTAGTAGTAGTAGTAGTAGTAGTAGCAGCAGTAAAAGAAAGATAAGGAGAAGAGGAAAGGAGGAGTGAAGAGGAGGAAACGGCAAAAATGTAACCTATGTAGTCTGGTAGTAGTCTGGTAGTCTTAGTTTCAGCTTCATTGCAAACGGGTCACCCCATCTTTGCTCCGCTCCTGTGCCAATGAAAAACATACAGAATGTTTATTACAGTTCCTTGTGGAAAGATTGACAGACTGCTGTCTCAGCATATCTAGCATACACACGCATTAAAGCATAAGGTAGCCATCCGAAGTGCTAACACAAACAGTCCGACATTAGAAATGCAGTTCATCATTGATGGTAGCCGAAGTCACCAACAGATCAGCAGTTGCCCACGCGATCAATTTAAATCACATACGGGCACCTCCAACATTGCGATAACAGGCATCGCGCCATTTTCTGAATCTACAATTCACACAGCCACGTTGGTCACAGTCGAAAAAACATTCCAAATGAAGTCCGCAGCTCACAGTGTCACGCTATGCATTCAATTCAGAAGCACGGCGACGAAACTATATCCAGTCTACAAAAGGAGCAAAAATGCATCGGCCACAGTCCGGCAGAAGCAAAAAATTTGCCTCGGCTCCAAACAGTGCCCCTGCCTAGCATCTATTTTGACCGGAAGTTACCTATGTGTCGGTGTATAGGACGCTCCTTTGTTTAAAATGCACCCTACTTTTACTTAGTCGCTCCTCTTCTACCTTGGGGTGTAGAGGTTTGCCAGAGAGATCGCCAGACGTCTCTATCAGCAGTTTTCTTTCTGGCTTTGTTCCATTCCAGTCCTCTGTCAGTCAGGGACTGTCGGATGTTGTCTTCCCAGCGCATCCTGGGTCGTCCCGGAGGTCTGGTTCCCTGGTTCTTAGCCTCCCATGCTTGCCATGGTGGCCGATTTTCTCCCATTCTGCACACATGTCCAAACCATCGTAACTGTGACTGATCCACTCGGGTTAAGTAAGGGCTGGGTATCAAGATCTTGTCGTATTGTCTGATTGCGGACTTTGTCCCTTCTTGTCACTTGACCACCACCTTTCTCAGGTATCTCATTTCCGAGGCCTGCAGCTGGCTTCTGTGAGCTGTTGTCATTGCACATGACTCACACCCATAGGTCAGGACTGGTACATAGGTAGAGCGGTAAACAGCCATTTTCGTCCTCTTGCCAATTTCTCTTTTGCTAAGAAACCCTCGGTTTATGGCCTGGAAGAGTCTCCCAGCAGCTGCTTTTCGTGTAGTTAGCTCAGTCTTAATGCCTCCATTTTGGTCTATTAAAATGCACCCAAAAAATGTAAATAAATTTTCCAGGAAGAAAAAAAAAAAAACTTAAATTTAAAGAAAAAAATAATGAATGTTAAAAATTATTCATTAACCTTTAAATGTACTTCCATAACTATCACCGGAACACAAATCTTGACCACGGTGTTCTCTCTAACCTGGGCTAAGGTAGTTAAACAAAGATTGCTGGGAGCTATGAAAATAACGGCACGTGTACACCGGCCTTGTTGTACAAGACACAACATAATAAGATGCAGCATAATACAAGTAGAAAGAACCCTTTTCCCAAGCCTTCAGGCTTATAGGGCATATAGGGCTAGACCTATATATTTTATTGACCAATCAACATTTGGTGGTCAGCATCACGCCGAGCGCCTTTACTTCTCAGGATTGCACGTGGTATCTGCTCAAGGCTGTAGTAAGGCGTATTTTGCGTCTAAATAAAATCTTCAACTGCACAGTGGTGGCGACAGCACTAGCCATTCGGCCGTAAACCTTCAGCCTCGAAGACCTCACTGCCTACACCACAAAAGTGGTATAATAAGGCAATTATTGGCAGTTTTGACATGTGCGTCTTATACAGCGAAAAATATAGTGTATAATTATGGGTGTGCCTATAACCATTCTGATGCGTGTATCGAGCAAATACTGTCATTACTAGATTACCACCATAGCGTGACCCCTTCCTAGAGTAGGTTGGTGGCAACTATGATTGTTCTCCAATATCTGCATTTTAAAATAACCCAGATAATTGTACAATTATGCCCTCGGTAAAATCTTATTTTTAATTGTTCGTTATCCAATGAGGCTCATTAACCGTTTGTTATGGTTTGCCTACAGACGTGCTAGGTCTGGAGAGGTTTCAGCTGGGACACGAGAACGGGGGATCCCAGGATGTGTCCAGAATCATGTAAGTGTCGAATGCTGTAAATATATTCATATTAAAGGGAATGGGTAGTCTTCGCAGGTACTGATAAAGAGTACGGAATTATAGACATTGGGTAATTATAACACTTTGTAGACTGTGTCTGTTTCCCGAAGTTCAAAGTACGAGTGATCCTCTCGATGTGATGTGCCTTATTAGATGTTTAAACATTGAATCCCAGTGTGTCTGTATTCTATAATTTTTAAATTGCTTGACTGTTTTCTGCTCTCACTCCCTCGTCGTGAGTGCAGGGACTGGACAGCTGGTGCTGCAGAATCAGAAGTTCAACAAATGATTCATGACAATTCCCGCCCAGATGATGTGATTATCTATAGAGATGGCTCTCGTTGAGAAGCAGACGAAGTGCATGGGGGTTTATTGCAAAAGCTGGAGAATCAGCTGTACACACATGCCGTGATTGTAACGGACACACAGAGTATGTCGGAGAAGGTGGAGACAGGCATGCTCCGTGCAAAGTGGCAAGCATCGCTTTATAGGTCCCATATAGTTAGCGTCCCTTGGATAATTTCTTCAGGTCATGCCGGTGTGTTGGGAAACTAGCAGGCAGATAGATTGGCCTCTTCTGCACAACTTGTGGTGAACTGATGTATGACAAGCTAGATGTTGAGAGGGCTCTTAGGGAGCGAGTGAACAGTGCGGAAGCCCAGATGGGTCGTCATGGTCTGAGGACAATGGTACAGGAAGGAGTGACCAGGGAATCCAGTGGACGATCAGCACTGAAGGGAAAGATGAGAAGGATATACAATCAGCCTACTATTGGTACCAATGGAAGTGGAACTCTGCGCTGCCTGCTGAAGATGGGAACGGAGTGCTTATGGGAATGTCCCGAGTGCTGTGATGTTGATTCTCAATTAAACATTATAGCATTTATATTTTATGTCTCAACTGGGTGCCGATTAAAAATAAATTGTTTAAAAAAAATCATATTTCATGTCTGCAGCCGACTAACGTACTCCAAGGAGTGCTACACTAAGTTGACACCGTACACATTCACAGCGTAAGTTTTGTTTGTTATTGTTGTTTAATAACTGTCAATTTGTTGTTCTCACGTCATTCAGTTTCAATTAGTGGTTTATGTCCCTGCATATTCAGACCCTCCGCTCACTCTTAGCGAAATCAGTCTCGCCAGGTACTGATGCTCTGTTTCGCTGCTCTGTGAGGCCACATTTAGTTCATCGTATCTGCTATATGATAAAATTGCCCATGACCCTGAGAAGCGGCAGCAGCCTGAGAACAGCCTGCTCATTTCCCGCCACACCCGCAGCTCACTAGACAGAAATGTAATGATATATTTCTGCATTAGATAACGTTTTCTCAGAGATGTATGCGGACATATTGGCATGTATGTTGGGAAAAGAAGAGGCAGACTGGTTGATTCTGCACCACCTGATAGTAAACAGATATAGGTCAAGCTAAACGTGATCAAGGTCCAGGGTCCTTCGAGAGCAAGTAAACACACGGAGGCATAAATCAATTATCACTGTTTGGGAAGAGTAGTGGAGCAGGAAGTGACCAAGGTATCTGACCGACACTCAACATTCAGAGAAAAGACCAGACGTAGATTTAAACTACTACTGGCGCCATAGGAACTAGAACTCTGAACTGACAGCTGAAGATGGCGGATGTCTCGCGTGCAGCAATGACCAGATGTGTTTGTGTCTTGCTGCGAGTTTTCATAAAACCTGAAGTTTGTCTGAGTTATAGTTTGCCGTGGAATTTCCGCAAGCTCTCCAGACATAACTCTATATTATCAACTTTAAAAATGAGTAACAGACCAAACCCCACCATTTGTCATGTGTCAATTTACCACCCAGTGGTGCAGATTCAGCCAATCTGTCAGCCTGTTTATTCCCTACTACGATGGCATAGCCTGGAGAAAAGATCCAAAGTATGCTTACTACCCGTGACCTTTCCAGTGAAGCTTGCCACTCTGCTCGAAGCATCCCTGTCTTCACCTTTCTAAGCCTGCTTTCAGAGTCTGTTACAATTACGACATGTGTATGCGGAGAGCTGCAGTTACCGCCTCCACCTCCATTCTCATGCTATATGTTGTGGTGTCATATGCTAGGCTGTCTTGCACTAAACATTTTTCATTGGCTTTCGCTACCAACCCCGAGGCACTTCTCTTTCCTCTCACCACCGAACCATCTGTATAGATAATCAGATCACCTGGGCGTGAATTGTCGTGAGCCAATTGTTGGACTTCCACCTCCCTAGCACCCGCTGGCCACTCTCTGCACACCCGGCCCAATGTGATCATGACCCTACACCGGTCACGGAGGTGTGGATTTACAGAAGAAAAGGTTGTATTTCATGGAAACACAAACAGTCCAATACACAAGTTCTGGAAAATTTACAAATAAAATGATAAAGACTGAATGAAAAAAAAAAAAAAAGATAAATTGAAATACTTTGGCCAAATTAAAAGATTTAACTCAATTTTCAAAACCTTTTTGGAGGGAAAGGACGAAGGCAAGAGAGCAAGAGGTGGGTAACGATACAAGTGGGAGGACATCATCAAGGGATGGACGAGCAGCAGTCTGAGGGAGTGTACAACCAGGATAAAAGGCTTGACGTGTGGCCGATCCATTTCAGCCAACTTTCATTGCGGAGACGACATCTGATTGACTGATTGATTGATTGATTGTACGCTAATAAGATACAGCTTCGTCGCTCAGCTGCTGAGCTGAGTGCTTAGCGCGACACTATGAGCTGCGAAGTGTCTTTCGATTGCGCCCAATATGGTTTGTGTAGTGAATGGTAGGTTCAGAATCTCGGGAAAGACCTGTTGCCACAGATTTGGTGGTTTCTTTTATGATTAATCGTGTGTACGGTCTGACCTGTACTGAGCTACTGATCTGTTGCAACTGCTGCTTTAATCGATGCTGTGCTTGTTTATCCACAATTTCAAGCATGAGGATGCAGGTGAAGGCAATCGCTGCAGCTCTGATCTGAATAGCAGAAAACAAAGTTACCAGAGGAATTTGTGTGCCTGATTCGGAGTCTCAATCAGTACTGCGGAAGGACTATTGTGACACGAGTGGATACCAAGCATCCGTACTCCAAAACTGCAGGGAGTCACGTTCGGGACATGCGAGAGTGCAAGACAATGAAAAAGCAGATTTTCTGGCTACAAATGCGATAGCTACGGGAACACTCGTACTGGACAAGGAATATATTCTAAAGACTACATATAAACGAATGTTGACAAAAGACACGAAATTACATAAAATAACATGTATAATAATGTGTGATCAAGAAGTTAGGAGTGGATTCGGCATTAAATGACGGATAAAATGAAGAGAGCGACGTGTGTCTAATCAGTGTGCTACAGGAACAGTTAGCGTCTAAACCTTAAAACATTTGCTGCGGAAGACGGAGCACCTATGTGTAAGCCCGGTGTGCTATGATGTCGAGTTTTCAACCAGTAATCAGAGAAATGCATTTCTAGTGCTGATCTGTTTGTTCTGACAATTCTGAAGGCTACCTTATACATTTATTGCTTGTGTGTCCTCCTTGATTTGCTGAGATTGCAGTCTCTGTCAATTTTTCCACAAAGGAGAGTGATGCATATTTTGTGAGGTTTTCGTTGACAAGAGAGCGGTGCAACTGTGGGGTGACCTGTTTGCTATGATATTGGAACTACGATTACCCCTTTACCTAGTAGATATAACACTGTTATTTCTCCCGCTAGATGGCGTGAGGTGGAGGACGAGTCCGGCATGCAACTGGTCTACAAGTCTGGCGGGCTCAATCTTGCAGACAAGGGAGTCACAGACTACATACTGGAGCCTTATGAGGAAGCAATGATTACAAACAACATCCCTTACGAAAAATGGGACAACCAACAGTTGATGGAGCACTATCCACAGGCAAGAGTCCTTACATCTGTATAGCATAGGTTTTAGTAGTAATAGTAGTTGCAGTAGTCTATGTACGCAACTATCAGTCCCTGGGGACTATGGAGTTGTGTCGCTGGTTTGGGAACAGCCTCTGTCATGACTGTAAAGTCCAGGGCTAGAGTGGTGGCAGTTTATGCCACATAGTCCACACAAAAACGTTGATAATCTTTCCTTCTGACACTGGGTTTTCCTCAGACGTCTCATCTCTATAGCACGCGGTGTCTTGCAAACTGCGACATTCGTCTGTCACTGCCTGCCTCCATAGAAGTATGTCTGCAGTTGATCTCTTCCAAGTGTCGGAAAGAGTAGCCTAATGGCGCTGTCCGAACAAAGTTTGGAGTTGAAAATCTACCCAAAGTATTTCAGGATCCTCGCCGGTGCTACAGAGCCTGTGCACTGTTCTGAGCTTCTTAAGACTCAGACTTGAATTGGAAGAAGAACGGAGCACTTACGGGTTACTACCCGTGTGCCATGATGTTGATTTGTTGTTCAAACCTAAAACCTCAGCCTTATCAATGTTTCAGACTGTAGTAGTAGTGGCTCTAGTAGTGGTAGTAGTATTAGCAGTAATGGTAGTATGTAAGCAGTTGTACTAGTGGTGGTGGAAGTAGTAGAAGTTGTAAATATGTCTGAACTAGAAGAACTAGGTTACAGTTTTGTATTTTCCCCATTAACACCCATTAAACAGTTTCTGACTAATGTCTTTACAATATATCATCATGCGAAAAGTGCAAAAAAATGTTTACACAAATGACTATTTTTAGTTTACAGTCGGCCCAGAAGTTGTTGCCCTATATCAGAAAGATGCAGGCATTGTGGATGCTGCCCTGGGCAACTCTCTTCACATTCAACTGGCTCAAGGCAGGGGTGCCAAGGTTCTTGACAACTGTCCTGTTAGTCGGGTGGCTAGAGCTTTAAATGGACTCATTGAGGTAGGGCTACATAATTTGTCGGTATCATATAATGTGCATACGACAAGACTATGTTATGAAAATGTTATAGAAATTTTGAACTAGAGATCCAAAGTTGGTTTCAGCTGTGTCGTTTACATATGACGAGATTTGTTATTCTTTTAGTATAATGGGTCTCTCCCGTCTCTTTTATAACTTCCTGACCCCACTTTTGCCAGGTTTTTGGTTTGCTTTAAGCCTAATCAAAATTTATATAACAGCCGCCCTGAGCTAGTCACATTGAGAAGAGTTAGGAGGCAACTGAGATGCAGTTCTTGAGAAGAATGTTGCAGATACCTTGGACTGTAAACAAGTGGTTATACTCAGGTAAATACACCCCACGGGACATTCTAACTACTGGTTGTACTACAGGTAAAACGCCCCACGGGACATTCCAACTAGTGGTTATACTGTAGGTAAACACGCCCCACGGGACATTCTAACAAGTGGTTACACGGCAGGTAAACACACCCTACGGGACATTCCAACTAGTGGTTATACTGTAGGTAAACACACCCCACGGGACATTCTAACAAGTGGTTACATGGCAGGTAAACACACCCCACGGGACATTCCAAAGGTGGTTATACTGCAGGTAAACACACCCCACGGGACATTCCAACTAGTGGTTATACTGTAGGTAAACACACCCCACGGGACATTCCAACTAGTGGTTATACTGTAGGTAAACACGCCCCACGGGACATTCTAACTAGTGGTTATACTGCAGGTAAACACACCCCACGGGACATTCTAACAAGTGGTTACATGGCAGGTAAACACACCCCACGGTACATTCCAACTAGTGGTTATACTGTAGGTAAACACTCCCCACGGTACATTCTAACAAGTGGTTATACTGCAGGTAAACACGCCCCACGGGACATTCTAACAAGTGGTTATACTGCAGGTAAACACCCCCCCCCCCACGGGACATTCTAACTAGTGGTTGTACTGCAGGTAAACACGCCCCTCGGGACATTTTAATAAGTGGTTATACTGCAGGTAAACACGCCCCACGGGACATTCTAACAAGTGGTTATACTTCAGGTAAACACACCCCACGGTACATTCTAACAAGTGGTTATACTGCAGGTAAACACACCCCACGGGACATTCTAACAAGTGGTTATACTGCAGGTAAACACACCCCACGGGACATTCTAACAAGTGGTTATACTGCAGGTAAACACACCCCACGGTACATTCTAACAAGTGGTTATACTGCAGGTAAACACACCCCACGGGACATTCTAACAAGTGGTTATACTGCAGGTAAACACACCCCACGGGACATTCTAACAAGTGGTTATACTGCAGGTAAACACACCCCACGGGACATTCTAACAAGTGGTTATACTGCAGGTAAACACACCCCCACGGGACATTCTAACAAGTGGTTATACTGCAGGTAAACACACCCCACGGGACATTCTAACAAGTGGTTATACTGCAGGTAAACACACCCCACGGGACATTCTAACAAGTGGTTATACTGCAGGTAAACACACCCCACGGGATATTCTAACAAGTGGTTACATTGCAGGTAAACACACCCCACGGGACATTCTAACAAGTGGTTATACTGCAGGTAAACACACCCCACGGGACATTCTAACAAGTGGTTATACTGCAGGTAAACACACCCCACGGGACATTCTAACAAGTGGTTATACTGCAGGTAAACACACCCCACGGGACATTCTAACAGGTGGTTATACTGCAGGCAAACACACCCCACGGTACATTCTAACAAGTGGTTATACTGTAGGTAAACACACCCCACGGGACATTCTAACAAGTGGTTACACTGCAGGTAAACACACCCCACGGGACATTCTAACAAGTGGTTATACTGCAGGTAAACACGCCCCACGGGACATTCTAACAAGTGGTTATACTGCAGGTAAACACACCTCACGGTACATTCTAACAAGTGGTTATACTGCAGGTAAACACACCCCACGGTACATTCACCTGTAAGAGAGTCATCGTTGCTGCCGGAGCCTGGATCAATCACGTGATTGGCTCCATAGGCTGTCACGTGCCTGTTTACGTCACAGAGGAAAACGTCACCTATTTCGGCTCACCACACGTGAAAGAGTTCACAAAAGACAAGTAAGAGGAAGCGTTTTTATATTTCCGTCAATACATTACCCGCCTATGTCTTATCCGCACCAGTTAGGTAAGTGTGTATGTTATTGTGTGTGTGTGCGTGCGGTGTGTGCGCGTGCATGTGAGTATGTTTGTGTACTGAATGGCAAATAAAACAAAAACAA